TTCCTAACCCAGCCATCCATCCAGATTTCCCACAGCACCACCCCGGTCGACATCAGCTTCGGCCAAGCCGCCATCTGGCAGGACGGCGCTCTGCAGGCCGCTGTGACGGCCGACACCAGCGAGTGGGACATTGCCGAGGGCTCCACCCCGGAGACGACCTTCACGGTCGAGTCGGCGCCCATCTCGCTGCACGCGGCCGTCGAGCAGTCGACGGGTGGCGGCCAGTTCAGCACCATCTACGTCGACCCGGACATCCACATGGGCGACACGCGCATCGAGCTGACGCCCAAGAACGAGTACCTGCTCTTCTGGAAGAAGATCACCACCACCGAGGCCATGCTGGCCATCTCGACCACGGTCGGCCACGTGTGGAAGTTTGCCCAGGGCAAGACGGTCAAGACGATCCGCTTTGGCTATGCCAAGCCTAACCTGCCGAGTGGCCCTCTCGAGCTGCCCAGCTGGTACGACATGTGAGCGCTGTCATTGTCGGCTATGGGTGAGTCAGTTGGCTGAATGGATGGCGGTTATAGGCAGTGTTAGTAAGGTACCTAGTGTGTTAGAAGCGCCGTTGAATTCAACGTCGTTTACTCTGAATGGTTCATTCCCGAGGCAGCCCCTGAACTACGGCCTGAAGGGGTGTCATGTGGTAAGGGGCTGAAGCATCCCCTAATCCGGCAACAAGCCTCCTTCACACGAGCTGAAAACTAGCTCCCGGAAAACAGATAAGTAGGTAATAAACCACTCAGCTGGCCACCCCCCTCGGCCCCTCCCACTCCTCCCTCAAATCCCCCTCTCACTCCAGTCTCCATTCCACCAACCAACCCCCCCAAGAACCCCTTTTTTCCTGAAAATGCCCACCCCCCGCATCCACCTCACAATCGACACGCCCCTCCTCTCCACCACCTCGCACGACACCCTCGTCCTCAGCAGGCAAGTCAACGGCGTCTTCAACACCGCCCTCGCCGTGGCGTCGCTCAACCCCCGCGGCGGCGGCGATGGCAGCACTACACCTGGCAGCCTCCCGCTCTTTGCGCAAAACATATTTTCCTGGGACGGCACCAACAACAATAGCGGCAGTAGTGGTGGTAGCAGCTTCCGCGTCGCCGTCTCTTACTCCTCCTCCTCCTCTGGGCAGCAGCAGCAGCAGCAGCAGCAGCAGCACGCGCATGGTGGTGCGCTGACCGCGTCCGTCACGGACGCGGTCGAGATCGGGCATGGCGAGACGGTGCGGTTCGAGAGGAATGTTTTGGGGCGGCCGGTGAGGATGGATGCTGCTGCTACTGGTGGTGGTAGTACATGGTTGGAGGGCGGTGTTAGTGGGGGTAAGGGTGCTGAGTGGGGGGATGAGCAGGATGTAGGTCTGAAGAGTAGTGGGGAGTGTTGTGTGTTCTCGGTGACGGGGGCGCCGCCCTCGTGTAGGGTCGAGGTGTTGCAGAGTGTTGGCGGGCGGGCGTGTCGGATTTTCCAGAGCGGGGAGGGCGGGTTGAGTCGGGAGATGGAGGTTAGGGTTTCGAATCGGGTGAGTCTTTATTTTTGTGTCTGGTATGACTGTTGGGTTTGTTTGAGGCTAATCGACATGGTGACTGTAAAGTTTATACTCTACTGGACGGAACGACAGGTGGCTCTGGGAGGAAGGGTTGTGGTATCCGAGCACGAGGGATTTCGAATGTGTATTGAGGAGCATGATGAGGTGGTGTTCGTGAGGTACGGGTTTGTCACGCCGAACCAACCCAGGGGCGATGAATTGCCGGGATGGCACCAGCGAGCCGCCAGTTCTCTGTTAGTGGATGATTCGACATGTAGTTTGGTGAGGGTTGCCATGTGATGGATGCAAGGCATATAGCATACAAACGGCGTCCTCAGGGACACAATGTGCTGGGAATATGCTGGCCGTTGCTACTTGCTAGTCCCGTGCCGGCTAACGGAGATTCTATGTGACCCCTTGTTCCCAGACCAGGCTGTCTTCCTCCTTCTGAACAACCAGGCAGGGAGCAGACATTGATAAAATTGCGTCACATGAGCTCTACCTTGATGATATCCGAGACCGAGGCGATGTCTTGCTTGAGGTTGTGGGAGAGAAGATATTCGCCCAGTGCCCTTATTACAAGGTTATTGAACTTGTCCCACGTTTCAACAGCTGTGGCACGCGCCGAGGGTTGTCAGTGCTGTTGCTATTTACAGCATGGAAGATCGTTGTTCGCGGAAAGGAAAACACCCTTTGCACACGCGGTTGGGAAGTTCAGTCCATCTCATTGGCACCCGTGAGTCGTGACCCTAGCAAATTGCAAAGATGAGCGTTTTAGTTTGTGTGGGGAAGGGGGCCTATAGGAGAAGGGAAAATAGGTACATGTACATCAGGGGTTTGATTGAGTACTACCAGTGAGGAGAGGAGAAATGAAGTTCCACCTGGTATTTCGGGACCGCGTTTAGCGGGAATGCCTCCAGAGAGTTCAAGGGCCAGGGGAAGCGGAGGGGTTGAAGTCCAATAACGTATATTATCAGCGAGTGGCCCATATCAGCGAGTGACCCACGCTAACAAATTCTGTAGGGCAGTAGCGCTAAAACTGTTAAAAAATTGTTAGTGATCTTTAGCAATTTTTTATCATCATTTTACGAACAGCTCCACCAAAATTTGTTAGCGTGGGTCACTCGCTGATAATATAACGTATATTATCAGCGAGCGGGACATATCAGCGAGCGGGACACTGGTAGGGGCTGCACTGACATTTAGCTGCAGCACTAACAGCCGGGATTAAACCGGGAATTAGCTATTAGTACAACAACTGAATGTCAGTGCAGCCCCTACCAGTGTCCCGCTCGCTGATATGTCCCGCTCGCTGATAATATACGTTACGTTAGTTGAAATCAAAGCGCGGTCAAATCGGTCTGAGGAAGACATACCTTGAGCCCCAAGCTGCGAAGTCTCCTTCCGATTTGGTGCCGTGTTGGGGTGAGCTTGTATCCAGGGGATCGAGCAAAGGAGGATTTCTGAGCTTTCGGGCCGGCTGCTCTCGGTAATGTCAGTTCCGACCTTGCCGAGCATGACTGGGTGCTGTACAGGATGTTGATAGTTTGAAAACGCATCCGACTAATGCATCCCCGGCAAACCGGTGAACATATCTCAGGCAGCCTCTCCCCTGTGTGGCGGCCGTGAGATCACGTCTGCGCAGCTCGCAGTGCTGCCAGTCGTCGGAATGAGCTCGGCTGAAGATACACGGCGTTTCAATAGCTTGTGACTATGCAAGTTGCCATCAAATCAAGAGTTGAATCGGAAACACGAGAAACGGAATGAGGGGTCGGGAAGGGCGTGGCCTGGCCTAGATAGACTCTGGACCACCCCCAGATTCCTGGCGGTCGATCCGGGACGGGAGGCGGCTGCTGCCGATAGCCAATAGGGCTGATGTGGCTCCTTGACAACAGCCAAGGCATTGGATAGTGACGGCCTTGCATTCGAGACCCCCGCTACTAGTCCCCTCTCCAGCTCGCCACCGTGCAGCACAGCCGAACAGATGACCGGCGAGAAGTGATGCCCAGACAGACCGGTCTGGATACCCGCAGCCCACAGTGGCACGGCCTGAAGAGGATGGTTTTGGCGGGAGACCTGAGAAATAAAAGGCGCCCTTCCTCGTGGCCTGGCAGGGACGAGAGAAACGAGACGACAACACAATCCAACAACGCACAGAACTGGCTCTGACTACATCATCAATCAACATCCAACTTGCCTTCTCCAACAACCCCATCACCATCATCACCATGGCCCAAAAGCAAGAGAATTGGAAGTGGTGCTCCAAGTGCGCCTGCATCTTCTTCGGCGGCGACGCCGTCTGCCGCGCCAACAACGGCGTCCACGACCTGTCCGGCAGCGCCATGTACACCATCTCGTTCCAGTCCGGTGCCCCCGGCCAGGACAAGTGGAAGTGGTGCAAGAAGTGCCAGGTCCTCTCCTACACGGGCAACACCATCGGTGCCTGCCAGGCCGGCGGCCAGCACGACGTCTCCAGCAGCGGCGACTACCACCTCCCCTCGTCGGGCGGCGGCCAGAAGCCGTGGCGGTGGTGCCACAAATGCCAGGGCCTCGCCTGGCAGCCGGCGGCGTGCACGGCGGGCGGCAACCACGACTTTGCCGGCAGCGGCGAGTACCACGTCTGCATGGACGGCGAGCCGCGGGCGCAGGCGGCCATCGGGCAGGACGGCTGGCGCTGGTGCAAGAACTGCCAGCTGCTCTGCTTCGACGGCAAGACGAGCTGCGCGGCGGGCGGGGCGCACATCAGCGCCGGCAGCGGCAACTACGAGATCAGCTTCGCGCAGCAGCAGGCGAATGCGCAGAGCGGGTGGAAGTGGTGCAACAAGTGCTATGGGCTGGCCTTTTCGCAGAGTGCCTCGGACGGGGTCTGCCCTCGTGGGGGCACACACGGCTTCGAGAGCAGCGGGAACTATGCGGTGCTGGTGAATGTGGCGCCGGCGGGTGGACAGCAGGACAAGTGGGCGTGGTGTTCGCATTGCCAGCAGATGTGGTATTCCGGCAATGGGGCCGGGAGGTGCCCTGGTGTGCCGAATGGCGGACATAGCAAGGATGGCTCCGGGGCGTATGTGCTGCAGTTTGCATGAGGTGGTTGAGGGTGTAGCAGTTTCCGGCCCTCGGAGTCAGGGGATCTCGAAGTCTCGAGTCTGTTGACTGTCAAGGTTGCCCCAGGTTGTTGTCAATGCGACTAGGTAGCCGCCGAGGCGGACTCTCAGTCACTCTCTTCGAAGAAACTTCAAACAGGCCCCTGAGGCCTGGGCATCGACTCTGTTTGAGTGTGGCGCATCTGCAGTTCGATCTTGTGATGCTGTGACGGGCTTTTGAAACTTAAAGTCTGCCAACCACCGTGGTGCTTCCCTCCGCCCCCGCAACCCGCAATGCAGAAGAGTAAAGGGGCGGTTGAATATTCCCATGTGGTTGTGCGTCGTGGTGTGCCGTTGACGTCGACACGTCCGGATGCTGCACTTCAACAGTCAACGGCAAGGTGGCCGAGCGGTCTAAGGCGCCAGGTTCAGGAACACCTGAATTAGCAAATCTCACAGATTTCCTGGTCTCAGTAATGGGGCGTGAGTTCGAATCTCACCCTTGTCACAAACCTTTTGCAGTTTCTGCTGCAGTGTCCCCTGCTTTTCGGTCCACCTTCTAGAAGCTTGTGGGTTGCATCTGCAGATGCAGGGTGGGTTCAGGGCTCGGCTGCACTTGCACAGCGCCGTGTTTCGTGGATGCAGATGCGAATCGATGTCATGTCGTCCCCTGCGTCTCGTTGTCGCGGGGACGCGGAACCATGGGTTGGATGGCTGGTAGAAGGATGCATCCGAGACACTTGATACTGGGATCTGCTGGCCGCCTTCATCGCGGCCTCAAGTCCGAAATGTCACTGAGACATGTGAACAGGAACCAAGCTGTGGGTGGGGCTCGCTTTTTCCCGAGTCGAGGTTGGCATACGAGATGTGCGAAAGAGGAAACAGCTCGAATCCCAAGGCCACACACAGTGGTCAAAGTGTTTTAAACAAATTTGTTTGCAGAATGGCAATGGAGGCCTTGCTGCGGGCCGATCTGCAGGTCAACAAGAACCTGGAAGCCCGTCTGATGAAACATCAGATCCAGTCCGGAAACAGAGAGTCGAGGCCGCGGAAAGACGGGAGCCCTGATGGATGCGATGGGCCGTTGCGACCCTTTGGCCTGTGCTGCGCGGAAGGGGCTTCGGGGCTCGGCCGCGGCCAAGTGGGCCAGGCTCAGGCACGGCTGCCTGAGCCAATGGCAGCCCTACGGTTGACGCTCCCTTTAATTGGCCCGGGCGCCACAGCTGCGACTTCTCGATTGGGACGATCGAAATTAAAACACGTCGCGGTTGCTCAGGGGGAAAAACCGCGAGGCTCGCTCGCCCAGGCAACGTCCGACTGAAGAACGCTGACAGGCGCCCAGCAACCGACGGCCGCGAGGGGGGGCAAGGCCAATTTCTCGGTTTCCCTCTCCTTTGTCATGCGACTGGCCCTTCGTTCATTACAGATCCCGTCCACAAGCGCCGACACGCGCACACGGCCACACGCACACACACGCTCGTTACAGTCGCTCATTTTTCGTCGCTCTTTTTCGCATGAACAAATTAGCCAGCCGCGACAAGGTCCCACGTTGCAGCCAGCGCGCCTCCGCCGGTCTGTCAGCGCTCCATCAGCACCAGGTCCAGGAGCAGCTGTTCAGGCGCTGCTGCCCAGCTGCTGCCCGCCGAGCCCCGTCAACGGCCGTCGCCGGGGCGTCATCGAGGGAGCCCCGCGTTCGAGACGTCTCGGGGGGCGACCTCTGGTGGAGCGCGTTTCTGGCCGGCTCTGACTGCTGCTTGCTGCTTGCTGCTCGCCGGACTCGACATCTAAGGCCCGGTCAATAGGATGGAACCCGGTGCCAGGGGCAGGTCCCCTGTGTCCCGGCGCGTCGCACAGAAGCTGGGCGGCGACACCGTCGTCTGCATCCCCTACCGTCCTCGGAAAGATGCAGCCTACGCGCGGAAGACTGCAGCCGCCGACCTCGACACGGTGACCACCCGCCGCCAGGACCCCGAGGCCGATCCCAGGCGACACCCGGCCGCCGCCGACGCCCTATCCCTCTCCGGCACCACGCCGCCCAGCAGCCCGACCATGGCCAGCTTCCCCGCCGCCTCCAAGTCCATGACTCCCGAGTCGGTCAAGGCCGGCCGCCCTCACCTGGTTCTCATCGACTCCCGGGGCAAGGTGGCCGCCAGGGACAGCGACGACGCCTCCTTCCGCAAGCACAACCGCGGCATCGGCTCCATCGACTCGCTCCTCTCCTCCACCACGTACGTCAACACGCAGTCCGAGTGCAGTCGCGCCGAGTCGCGCCTGTCCCGCGAGATCCGCATCGAGGTCGAGGATACCGACGGCGGCGCGCCCATCGTCCCCCACCGCAAACCCAGGAAGCAGACCAGCAGGTGCGTATTGCTCCAGGATGCCACCGTCTCCTTAGGGGGCAGGCCTACTCACGCTCAAGACAGAATTCAGCTTGCTCCCCCAAGCATCACTGTGCATGGCTCTGTCGGGACTTCCAGCGAGGGTGAGGATCACGAGGTTGAGGATGAAGAGGCTAGGCTGGTTGATGAGATCGCATCCTGGGTCTTGAGAAACACCTTCGGCAAGGACGTGGACGACTGCGCGGCCCCGCTGTTGGTTTGGGACTGCACCTACCGCTTCCTCCAAGAGCTCTGGTCCGCTTCTCACGAGGGGAACCTCGGCTTCGTTCAAACGACGTCTGGCCACGGCACTCCGTCACCCCAGTATGGGGGTACCCCGGCTCCTGGAAACAACGACCAGCAACAGTCGGGCCACCCCGGCAAAGGAAAGAGGAAAGCAGATGGGGGGAGTGATGACGGAAGTGGGTTCGGCGGCCGTGACAACCAAGGGAACGAAGAGAGAGACGTCTCCCCAGCCTCGCAAGCGTACAGCACCAAGGGAAGCATCACCAACTTCAGCTGTCCCTACCGAAAACGCAATCCCCTCCGATTCAACGTGCGAGACTACTATGTCTGCGCCACACATTCTTTTGCCGACATGTCACAACTAAAGTAAGCCTGCCATACCAGGGGCTAAACGGACGTTTATGCTAACAGCGTTCCAGAAAACATATCCGCGCCCACCACCCTCCTGTGCAGCGGAACGCAGGCCCATTCCTTTGCCCCCGATGCTGTCAGGGGTTCGTCTCGAAAAACGATTTGGACTCGCATCTGCGCCAGTTGGACGTCTGCCGCATCTCGTTTGACAGCGGCGGCGCGGACCCCGAAGACGGCATCACCCAGAAGATCATCTCGTCTTTGGAGGCTAGGAGCCTCAAAGCCAAGATCGACAACTGGCTCTCGTTGTGGAAGCTCCTCTTCCCAGCGGATCAGGTTATCCCGGATCCAGGTAGGCATCATCGCTCCCGTCGCCGGCTGAATACCTCTGACCCAGAACAGTGTTCGTTCCGGTAATGGAAATCTTTGACTTTATTGCAGAGTCCAAGAAGTTCTTGGGCACATTGAAAGACCTTCTCGATATTCAGTACCGCCACGTTCTCGAAGGAGCGACCCAGGTGATGGACATCGACCTCAAGATTCACCAGGGCCTGGAACGGAGCACCAAATCCATCTACACTTGGATCGAGACCGTGGTGCAGGATTGGGAGCAACGGATATCAGGCACCGTGTCACTTTTTACGAGTTCGGCAATCAGCCAGCCCGCCACGAGTGACAGCTGGGCTTCTACGCCCCTCCTTCCTCCTTCCCCCGCATCGACGCCCACCGTCGTCGCTGGGAATCCGGGTGCCGCGAGCACTTTGCCTGGGGCCGAGAGCCCCGGCGCGCCAGCTCCCGCTGGTCTTAGGGGCACATCTGTCCGGCGGCGTCCTAACCCCCCGCCAAAACGCATCAAGAGGCCCGAAATCCTGCCCAAAGCCCCGGCGCCAACGCAAATCCCGTTGCCCATACAACGAGCACGCTCACCTCAGCCGCAGGCAAGGGTTGCCAGCAACGCCTTCAGACCACCCCCAACCGTTCTCCCCAGCCAGTCAGTTCCCATGCCGCCATCAACGACGCAAGGTCTCAACCCCGGCCCGCCGTACCATACCAGCTGGGACAACCATACCGTGACAGTTACGAGTGCCTATACTGTTCCTTACACCAGCCCAGCCGATGTCTTCCAGCATTCGGCCATGACGCCGACGCATTATGGGTCCATTCACCCGAACCAACTCGAAGTTCAACCCTCGTATCTGGGGCCGGAACAGTCCGAGACCATGTCACCCGACGCCATGCAGCACGATATCGACCCGCGCCCACAATCAACAGCCACCATCCACGCAAACCGACTGACCATGTCGACGACACCGAGATCCTCACTCGCAAGCCTCAGTTGGATCCGCGACGAAAACCGTGACTCAAGCCAGACGCTCGTCGAAGCACACCCACCGGGAAGGTGCGGCAACATGTACTGCCCGAGCTGCAACAAGACCATGCCCGACGACATGGCTGCGCAGCCGTCGCCCGTGGTCATACACCCTGTGACCGGCGCTCCGCACCACCACCACGCGTTCCACACGGCCGGGGCTGGGCCGGGTGCTCCCTTCCAGACTTCTCCCAGCCCGGGGGAGGTGCACGGCTTTACGGATCAGGCGGAGTGGTTCCACGGCGCTGGGGGGATACATGGCCCGGGGGGTAACGATAACATGTTTGGAGGGGGACACCACGGGCCGCAGGAAGGGTACTAGTCCCGCCTCCCTGAACTAATGGGAAGCAGGGGAAGCTTTCTTTTTTTTTTTTTTTGGGATACCATATTTGCTCATTGTATACTAACAAAATAACAAGGATTTTGTACTAATGTAATGCCAGATGCAACAACAAGCTGTGGGGGTGAAGGGATATATATGCAAGGAGCGGCGGGCAAGTGGTGAAACGGCACACTGCACGAGGTTATGAATGATGTATACCAATATTTCTGTATGATATGCTTAGATCTTTAGCGTTGCTTAGTGGCAGGGCGCGGCCCTGGTAGATGTAATTCTAGTGTGTATCTGGATCAGGATGTGATATTGCGGTGAATGCTAAGGAAAATATGTCTAACATTTCCCGGTGTCCGACAGAGACATCATGGCCATCCCACTCGTCTCCTTTCGACATGTTGGACTAACGAGATACCAAACCTCTACCGCCATAGTCGTGCTTTCCGCCAAACCACATGAAGCTCAACCGACAAAACTGTGTCAGATTCAGACCAACACATTGAAGTGTCTACTTAGTATCTTGCTTCCATAACCTCATAAAGTATCTCTTCATAACAGGTATTAATTACATCCATCAAGTTGCCGACATCCTCCTCCTCCTGAACAACCTGAAAAAGCCAAGCAAACACACCGCAAATTGCCCGCAACACCAACGCAAATGCTTGCTCACCGGATGCTCTACGTCTCTAACCAAAAACGAAAAACAACGCAGAGGAGGAACAGACGTGTGCCAAAAAGTTCGTCAGGAAAAGGGGAAAATACCTACCAGGTACTCACTCACAGTCTACCCTACCAACCAACCACCCGCCTCTCATCCCTCCCCCTTTCCC